TTGCTGCAGTTTTAGTCTGCACCACTGACTCGCTCAGTGAGTTAGCCTCCTGCACTGATGGGCTGATAATTGTACCAACCTTATACTTATTTCCTCTTCTTTAGTATTTATTGGAGGCACTTAATAAGCTATTCATGTGCAACTTGTGTGTTCCTGGCGCTGTCTCATAAAATGACTTTCACTACATGTGTGGAATCCATCACAAGCGATTTCTCTTGTAATACAAAATATTTTCTAGATCCCTGTCAGACATGAGACATGTGCACATTTACAGGGCAGCTAAAGCTGGCTGATGCCACTCTTTCAAAGATTATATTCACTTTCACAAACATGTAGCATCTATTTCTGAGATGAAATATCATTTTAACAGCAGTCAGCCAGACTTATTCTCACGTTTCCTAGAGAGCGTCCGGCCATCCCTATTACTCAACAGTGCTTATTGCTTTTCACATACCTCGTTCACATTTATATTTTACATGTAGATGTAAGGCATGAGTATATCAGGTTTGTGACACTTTTGTTGCTCCTTATGGACAGATTTTGTAGCGTGTTGCCATTAATTGTTCTTTCTTACATACCCTTCTTATTGTCATCTTGTGTCACTGTGACTCTACAGAGAATTATGGGACTATATGTTTCTGTAATAGTTAAAGGCTCATTGTTTGATATGAGTTCAAACCAGAATTTGATTGTAATTCTATAATTCAGATCTAGGGTTTAGTGTGAAGTTTATAAGTTTGCTTCATCAGTTCATTAGTTTAACCATTTAAAATCACTGGAAACTGTTTCCTCGTCCACGTGTCCACAAAGCTTCTGTAGTGCTCCCAGAAAAGTGTGAACGTGTGAACTAGAAAGTGAGTCAACGCTTTCGGTGCTGCAGAGAAAGTTGACAAAAAAAGAAAGGCGGCGAGATGGAGAATCAGAGGGTTTATTATTTCTGTCCAGTGTTTTCTTTCACAGTTCCATCAACCAGGGTGGAAGCGGATCCTTTTCTTCCACTCACCATAGGTGTGAAAGGCCACACACAAACTGCATGTAAATGCACACAGTCTACTCCACACCTACAGATTCTCACACTCACATGGATGGCAGCAAAGGTCACAGCACTTAGAAACTCTTTCTGCCCTACTTATCTCTCTCTTGTGTCTCGGCTGTGTCTAATTCTTCATGTGGGAAGTCTGTTTGCTTCTCTAGCTGCAGGATTTGTTTTTCTTTTCTTTCATTTCTGATTTAGCTAGAATGATTTTTTTTTTTTTGCAAAGGGCCAAACAGTGCAGTGTGAATGCAGATGATTTGTGCACCAAATTGTTTGAACATTTAAGAACAAACTATACTGAAAAAACATTCATCTTCCTGCTTTTTGCTGCTTTGCTTCCAAAACCCCTCCCCTTAAATCTTCATGCCCCTAGCTTCCTCTTTTGGCTTCCCAGGATGCCATGCGGGACACAGCTGAGCAGATCATGGAGCTGGAGAGGGCACTGAGAGAAAGCATGAACACCTCTGCACATAGGGAGGCTCTCTGGGCACAGGAGGAGGCTGCCCGGGTTCAGGCCCAGAGACAGGTTTACCCGGCGTAGCGCACGCGTATCGGGCCCCCGTACCACCATATACATTTACTCGCACGCATGCACACAGATAGTCTCGAGGCTCTCCACACAGGTTTCCTTGTGTACCTTTTAAACTCTGTGATCAGATCATTCAGGACTTCAGGACCACTGCAAAAAACAAAACTTAACTGCGCCTCCATGTGGTTCAAAATGTAGCTGCAGGCAGACCATTATATCATTATTACCAAATGGGTAGTTGCCTTTTGTTTCCTCTCTGTTATTGCTTTTTCTTCTTAATTTACTTTTTATTCTCTAAACACTCTTTTGTTTATTTTATTGTTCTTGACTGAAATTTCAAACCAAAAAAAGGAGAAAAAATTCCAGTGGCCTCCTTTCGTTTTTTCTTGTTAACTTTGCATCTTTGAAAATGTAAGCATACGTTTGAGATGTTGTGAGTTTATGTCTCTGTAAGCAGAGTGACTGACAAAGCTGGAGACTTGATGGAGCACAGGTTGCCCCTTTTAACCACATGTCCTGCTTATCTGGCTGCCTCTCTGGCTGCCTGCTGGTCCGTCTACAACTTTGAGCAGGCCCCAAAAAAGTTTACGTGTGTGTGTGTGTGTGTGTGTGTACGTAGGTGTGTCTGCGGTGGGAAAGAGAAACAAGGCAAGGGAGTGTGTTTCCTCTCGGTGTGAGCATGCATTTGAATGAGAATGACCTCGCATTACTTACGAGTGCCACAAGTAACATGAGAGCAATCGGCGGTTAAAACAAGAACCAACATTTTGAGGCAGAATGGCGACTATATTGCCTCAAACACACACGTGTGCTTCCTGGGAGAGTTTAAAAGATGAAGAGAGGCCGGAGCAGCAAAGTAAGAGAAGGTCAAACTCAGTTTAGAAAATTTTGCAAGCGCCAACGCTAACTGCGGCTTGTTTTTTTTGTTTTTTTTCTCCCTTCTTTTCACAATTTCTGTACTTTTGCACGCTTGACTTGCATTCAGCATGGATACTGTGTTTATCAAACAATATTCTGATTCACTGCAAAGTCAGAAAAGTATATTTATGTCTGAGGGACTTTTTGCACGCATAGAAGTAAATGATTCAGCTGTGACCTGAGATTACCCAAAGATTCAGGAAAAGCCTTTTCTAGCTGATGACACATTAACATTCATTGACCCCACGAGCCATAGTCACAAGCCTTTATTATAAGTCAATCCAAACCCTACGCATAGAAAACATACCGAGCCAGCGTGTGGTCATACTAGCGACTGAACTTGACACGAGCTGAACTAGAATGGAGTTACAGCCACACTGTTGACACAAGGAAAGCTGCCCGAGTGCTCAAGGTGCTCAGTCACCGATGCTCACTGTTCGCTGTCAAAGGAGTGAGCTTTGTCAGCCAAAATAACGTTACCACATAAGACGGGAGCGGTTCAGCATGCCATCATTTTAAAACTAGACAGTTGTCAGTCAATCACCAGTCTTGCCTCGGAGACTGGAAAAGAGTGCGTGGAGCGACTTAGAGAGGAACCAGTTCCTTTGAAACATCACCTGACTCTGGCACTGCTTCAGCCCGCCCTGCCAAACTCACATTCTCACCCCTCCTCTCCTCACTCTTTGCTTGATTTTCTTCTTTCTTCTCCCCTCTGTCCCAGAGTAATCAGTCTCATGATGTGTAATGCGCTGAAAGTCTTCCATCAGCCTGACCTGCTGAAATGGAGCATGGGTAATGCCCTGGGTCACTTTTTTTCACACCCTTGTTTTCTAAGTCTCTCACTCCCTCTGCCTCTCGTCTTTCTCATACAATCATCTCTGCTGTCCAGCCACTGTCCCGAGCCTTGCGTGTTCCCATCTGCCTTCTTAAGTTGTCTCACGCAATTATCTCCGCGCTCTCTCTCTCTTGTTCTTGATTTCTGCTGTTTTGCTCTCCCCTCTGTGGCGTTTGAACTAGGCCTTTGAACCAGCAACACAACGCAAACGGACAAGAGGGATTTGGCCCTTACCTCTGAGCCCTCAATCAGCTTATCAACTAAAGGGGCTTTGGGCCAGCCTTAGAAGGCCTTAGCCTGGCTGGGGGGCTTTGCCTTGAAGTTGAGCTAAATTAGCACGCACAGGCTCACTGCTAAGCTGATTAGGTCCCTAATTTCACTAAAATGCATTGTATTCCTTATTAATGATGTGATTGTGAAGTGAGGGCTAGCCTGGGTGGTGGACTAATAAGGGACTGGGAAGGGAAAAGTTGGTGCATGAGGGTTGATAGGCATGTGGTGGGTGTAAGTGGAGCTGTGTGTGTGACCCTTGGCTTTCAAGAAGAAAAGATTGGCTTTGTATGCACTCGATCCTGGAATCAAACAGTGAATATTAAAATGGTGTAAGTTTGGAGACGTGCATATTTTGACGTTACTCGGTCTATTAACAGCTAGAAACTACTGAGGTCAATTGTTCTTGGCAGAGCTACGGGGTGTATTTTATTGAATATATTGAATATTTTGTTACATTTTGAAGACGTTTTGACTGAAAGTCGTCATTTTCCAACCGTACTGTTTAAGTTTCAGCGCTCCGCACTCCCTTTGCTTTTTTCTTCTCGTATTCAGCGTGTGATATTCATGAAGAGTGAGCACGTAAGCTGACATCTGTGAAACACACCTAGAAAACTGGAGGAGATGGAAACTGTCCTGAAAATGTGTGAACCATTTGGCTCCTTCATAAAAGAGGCCCATTCCTTTCTCTCATGTCCTACCCCATGCAGTGGTTTTCCCCAATAATCCTTTTCTCTGCATTTTTCTTTCTCCTTTTTTTCTTCCAAACTTTAGATTTTTTTTACCCTGTATCACAAATTAGCAGCTAATCAAAAGTAAACAATGATAAATGTATGTTCCTGTTGTTTTACATTTACATCTGTACATGCTTGAGTAATACTGCATCCTATTGTGAAGTGCTAGCTGTTAGACAATTAGACACTTCCTGTCTAATGACGCCCTGAGGTCATATCCTGTCAGACACACATGTGTGTGCAGATACAGAGGATGCAGTCAAGAGGTTGATCATTATCCTCAGCTCTAAAGCACAACTGCACTTGAGAATATGATAAGTGAAAGGCGAGGGTGGAGAGGAGAGGGTCAGAACAATCACTCAGCTAACCTGTGACCCCGAGTAATTTCTCCTGCTCCTAAATGTCAGCTGGCCATTGATTTTCAATGTTTAGGCTGTCATTTTATGTCATCTTTTAGCAATCCAACACACGTTCTTGACACACACACAGACAGCAGATAACTTGTCCTATATCAAATTACTTTAGCATGCTCACTTCTGTGTGTGAGTGTGCATGCATAAGTGCAGAATAGACATGTTTCTTTGTATTATTATAAACTTATCTTATAATTAAGAACGGATCAATGTGGGTCCTCTAGTGTGTTTATACCACCTTCCTTCTTTGTCTTCCACTGAATAGCTGGAGGAGCTGATGGGAGCTTTGGAGAAGACGCGCCAGGAGCTGGACGCCACAAAACTGCGTCTGTCCTCCACTCAGCAGTCGCTGCATGAAAGAGACGGACATCTGAACAGTCTGCGACAGGAGAGACGAAAGCAGCTGGAGGAGATTCTGGAGATGAAGTGAGTGTCGCAGTCACCTACATGTCTACATATACCGCACTCACTTTCAGTTACATTAGGTAGCTTTTAGTTGAAGTTTAACTGAATTGAGTACAGCTGTCGGCCCAAACATCTGTCTTTACAAAGTGGTTAGTGTTGTGGTTTAGGTCACAATATTAGAAACGTGCCATTTTCATGTGCTTATTGTTTAGGTTAAAGTTAAAGGCAACGTTCTTGCAGTGCAAGATGTGTAGTAAAATGAGTAGCACTGGATATTTTAGTAATAAGATGCTAACAGAGGGGTAAAAATTTGAGTCATGCTGTATTACTACTTTAGAAATACACCATGTTTTTAGGTAAGAAGTCACAGCACTGGACACCATGTTTAACATTATTTCCCTGAAATATCAGGACTGTGTGAATAATTTCAGTTGTAAGAAGTTAATTATCAAATGTTTTACTTTTTTAAAAATCATGTGATTTGATGCATCTGAGGCAGTTTGGGGTTCAGTATTGAGTCAGGGACCACATCAACATGCAGACTGGGAGAGTCTGGAATTAAACCACTGTCCTTTAACTTTCTAATCTTTGTTTTTGGCTCCATTACACTATTACATAAATGCCATTCAAATGTATCTCAAGTAGAAATTGTTGATCCCAAGTTAATGTTTTCAGTTACATAGTAATTTCTTAGTTATGCATTTTTAAAATTAAATTATTGCCCCAGTACCCCACGTGTTGACACGGAGCTACCATATCGACTGGTAGTGAGCGATACTACACTTTTCTACTCAGTTTAAACACTTTCTTGCTACAAACCTCATTCACCCTTTCATACAAAAGCCCTTTTCTGTGCATAAGCACTAACTTAATGTTCACAAACACTATAATAAATGCATTCAGGGGAAGTCTTGGTTAAGTATATTGTCCAAGGATACTTTGACATGCAAGTTGGAGGATCGAACCACTGACCCTCCGATTGGTAGACGACCTGCTGTACCTCCTGAGCCACAGCTGCCTCCGAAGGGGGGATAAAAGTACACTAAAAGTGTGAGTGCAAGTGACTGACAGCCCATAAAAGTAGATTTTCTTTTTTTGGCATGGTATGATGGGCACTGGCATGATTTACTCACTGTTTTATCAAGAACATTTGTAAAAATAGCAGCATTTTTTTCACTGCAGCTCATAAACCTGTGTCTAATATTGTATTAGGCACATTTATCTGCTCACCTGTTCACATATGCGTTCGTGTTTGAGTGTGATATAGACATCAGCTCTGAGGTGTATTCTGAAGCAGGATCAGCCGTTGTCTAAAGGTGCCTCGTGAAAAGTTCAGTTTATTGAGGACAGGTGGTGTAGTCTTAGATTTGTGTGCAGCTCTTGCTTCGTGTGTCTTTGTGACACAGAGGGAGTTAGAGCAGAAGGAAGCTTAGGAGGAGGATGTGTAGAACTGTTTGCATTTCCATGTGTGAGTGTATGTCAGTGGTTGTGTATGGATGTGTGAGTGAGTTCAGTGATCTGCAAGTGGCTTGGCTACATGTGCGTTTGCTTTGAGCGCTCTGATTGAAGGAGCATGGAACCACATATCTGCTTGTCATGTGCTGCGGAGAAATGCCTTTAATGTCAGCTACTCAGTGCAGTACAAAAGAGAAGGCTGGCACATTCTGTATGTATTGAAAACACAATTGTTAAAGCCTACTGTGGCTTCAGCTCTTCAGACCACACATATCTGATGTACATATAGCTGTATAGGGTATTTCTGACTACTGACAGCAGGGTGCCCTTTGCCTGTCTATCTTCATACACACACACAAACACACACACTGCTGATACAAACCACCTTCCTGTCTGTTTCAATTTCCACCCTCCAAGCATTACTGGGAATGTTTATCAGTGGAAATGAATAACATATGATAAAGTCAGAAAGCGTGGTCTACGTACAGTATAGAAAAATGCTCAGCAAAGTAGCATGTGATTATTTTAGTGAGTTAGTGGTCCGGTAGCTTATATTGATTTTATTAGAAATATGTCTGAGGAAGAAGGTTGTTGTGATGATTCGCTGACATGAACAACAAAAACAACAAAGCAGAACCTTCAGCTTTTGTTCAAGCCTGCATTGGTAAGACCTTTAGAAATGTGCCATTGATAAGGGGACATGAGGGGCATGAATGTGCATGTTTGTGTGTGTGGTCTGTTGTACACGGTTAAGTGTGTGTGTGCGTGAAGAGGTTAGAAGCAGGGGTTAGGGGTCACTGGTGATGAGGATTAAAGGACTGTTGAACTGCAAAGGGCAAAGCTTCGTGAGACTGACACACATCTGAACAAGCTGCAAAGATACACTTGCAGAACGTACACACAGCCTCAGTGGAACTCGCATATAATCACTCACGTCTGCAGACATGCACATACTTACACAAACTGTGGCTTACTCCTTTAAAAGGGGCCATATTCCCAGAGCACAGCTCTGCTCCAAGTTAGCAGAGGGAAAGCTAAACAGGAAAGATAGAGCAATGAAAGAGAGGTAACAAGCGAGACACGTTAGGGGGAAAGCAGCAAACATTCGGGCAGAAAGAGGGAATGAGAGGGAGCAGAGAGTGGAATGGAGGGACTGCACATGCTGAAGCATTTCAAATCTTAAATCATGAGAGAAGTTTGATTGCATGCCAAGTTTCTCCTTCCCTCTGCTGTAATGTGGCATTTGTCAAGAAGACCAGCTGAAGCAAACCATGTGAGGCACGTCTCCAATGAATTGGAGAGCTTTCTGTGTGTGTCTTTAATGTGTGCATATATATGTGTGCGTGTGTGTGTCTGTGTGTGTGTGTGTGTGTGTGTGTAAGCCAGAGGGAGGTAGAGAACTCTTGGCTTTTCAACACTGTTAATGAAAGAGACAAGGAAGGAAAAAGCATTTTCAATACTCTCATTGCATTCTGGGTTTCCCTGTTCATCGTGTGTGTGTGTGTGTGTGTGTGTGTGTGTGTGTGTGTGTGTGTGTGTGTGTGTGTGTGTGTGTGTGTGGGAAAGAGAGAGGGAGAGCATTTTCATATTTGCCTTTTACAGATATAGCTATATAGCTGAATGCTTAATGCTTAAGAACACTGCAGGTCTCCTCTGTCACCCCACACCAGATTGAGTTTCCACCACACTGTGCAATATTCACACACACATACAAACACTCACACTCACACAGATGGCCTCTGGAGGAGCTAGTCATTAAACAAGTCTTGGGTCATGGGGTATAGGTGCACAATAGAGAAATTATGTGTTTGGACATTTTGAATAGCTAGTCATTGAGATGTTTCCATAGTCTGAATAGGATAAAACTATATATGCCACAACATCGCAGTGGCTTACTGAACCTGAGCCTTCTATAGACTTTAGGAATGTAGGTGATATTATCTCTGTTTACATTTCAGTGATGGAAACGACGATAGTGGAAAGAAAGGGGGAAAAAACAGTGGCAGCTTCGATGCAGAGTTGATAAAGCGGAACTTCTTTGGGGTAGCTAAGTGGCAAGTTGAAAAGTTAAGAGATGGAGGAAAAAATTACAAGACAGAATGAGGAAAAGAGGAAGTTGTATCATAGATTTAGGGAGGAAATAGTACATGATGGAGAATGATATGCTGGGCCAGGGATTGATGGAGGGACTGATGGATGTAGGGAGTGGTGGAAGAAAGGAAGGTGAAGCTGAACTACAGCTGTAAAGAGTTGGAAGAGCCATATGAAGAGCAGTTGTTGGAGTAAAATGACCAACTTTAGCACAACATATATCAGCAAATACCTGCATCACACTGAAACAAAGAATGCATACCTTTTTAAATATTTTTACTTTTCATGTAGAGCATC